ACTGTGATATATTTAGAAACTCATACTCAAAATGAGTGGTGATCAAGTCCAATCTCGTGTTGAACTTGATCAATCTGGTCGATCAATGTTTATTCCTGGTAGTAATCGATTGCTTATTTATAACCCACCTAATGTATATGAATATAATTTACAAGGTAAGACATGATGGTTGTACAACAACTCTAATTCATCATGCATTCATTCATGGTCACAATCGTTTTTATTAAACTAAGGCGATAAAATTGCTTGGCAAGATATCTCTCAAACAAAATCAGTTGATGTTGGTAGACCCCAACGTAACCCCCAAACTACCGTCAACATATTCGACGTAGGTTAAGCTTTCATCAGCACTAGTAGCTCTATCGACTTTGTTCAATCCTCTGCTCCATTGAATTGAATTGAATAATATTGATTGGTTGCAGCTGATCGAGTTTGTAGGTATAGAAGATTATAGAAAGTACAGGGAATTAATCAATGGAATACTTGAAGAAGAATCGACTGCTAAAGATTGGATACACTTCAGATATAGAAAGAAGGATAAAACACTCATTCTCTTTCCTGTATGTTGAAAATACCAGTTTGAAGTTTGTATGAAAATGACGGTAGTATTATTTAGAAGAAGATGGTGAAAATGAGAATGCTTATTAGCTAACATGAGAAGTTGTTGAACTGATTTTACAATTACGTTGGAGGTCAATTGGTCGAATTAATGAATTGATTTATTTCAGATTTATTTCTCCTCAGAAGCAAGGTGGATAATAACTATTAACCTTACAACCGGAATGAAGAGCGTTGATCGACTGACATGGAGTGATTATGCTGATGTTGTGTATGTTGATGATGATTATCTTTATGTTTGGGAAAGAAGGGAAGATGATAGACGTAGCTTGAAAGTAAGCTAGAATAATTTATTTCCATTTAATCTCTATTCTAAAGTGGAACCGTCTATAAATTGACTGTTCAGTTTCATGTCGAAAATAGCCTTGAATGTCGACTTTGACGTCTATTGCAAATGGAGACGACCATTAACGACATTTCCAACTTGAATTTATTGTAGTGTTACAAGTTTGGGGATGGTGAATATCAATTACTGCAAAATATTGACTACCAAAGGAAGGAAGGATTAATGGTAAAATAATGATGAATATA